GCCCAATACCTACCTGCCCGACCCAAACCCCTTGGCCAATCCTGGCCATTGATCACTTTTGATCAATAGTCAGGATATTTCCTACCATAATCAAACCCACCTACACCCCCCAAACCCTATTCATTTTCCCCTTTCCCCGCCGTCACTCCTCTCTTCTTTCCTCAAACGTTATCTAGCAGAAACCCTAATTCTCCCCTCGCCATCACTAACCTACTGCCTTCCTATGGTGGTTCTTTACCACCTCAGCCCTCTAATAGCCTCCTCTATGCTATGGTATCTCCATCTCCTAGATCCTTGAGGAGATTCTCAAGGGACCTAGGCAGGTCTACTTACACCTTTGGGTTTTCTTGCCTGTTTCATCCCATTTGGCTCGACCATTGAGTAAGATCCTTCTTATTTTCATCTTAAATCCATGGATTCATAAGTCTATGTTCTCATATCTGTTTTACTTCTAAAAAACCTAATTTTATCTTTGATCTGTATAGATCTGAGACGGATTGAGCGTACTTCACATGATTTCTTGAAAATTTTTTGGTTTTTCAAATGATTTTCCGTTTTTCCTAAAACTAGAGTTTACTGAAACTCGTCTTCTCAAAGTTTATCTGATTTTCGAATTTTAATCGTCTGTTCTTAAGTATTATTGATTGATTTCTGCTAAAATTATTTGGACCCTAATCAATTTATGCTAAAGCCCTAATTTTCTCATATTTTGCTTCGATTTTGAGTCTTTGTGTGTTACTTGTTACATTATTTGTTCTATGCTTTGACTTTCATGATTTTCCCTTAGTCTAATTCAATGTCTTGTGATTTTTTACCCTGGTTCATCTCTATTAGGGTTTTTGATTTCTATTTCTCGGCCAATTTCTGTATGTTTATGAAATTCTATTTATCATGTTTGTTTATTTGTGGAAACTTATATTTTCTCCCTTAAATCAGTACTATTTTGAATTTTGACTCACTGATTGGCTCTGTTAAAACTATGTGTTGATTCTTGATTGTTTCCCTTATTTACGACCTTAATTAGTTTTCTTACCTTATTTAATTAGCTGTGGTACTTGCTGATTCTTCAAGATTGCTTCCTTAATTGAACCCCTATCTATTTATCCCTTATTGCTCACTTAATTTTCTTTCCTTAAACGTATCCTACCCTGTACCGTTGGGCAATTACCCATAATTCAGGAAAAACTGCACTAGTTTGTGTATAATTAATTTTGTGGCTTCCTTGATTGCTGAATGATTGATCTCCTTTACCTTATTCTTTTTTGCTCTTAACTACTATATATACTCTGCTCTATTCTCACTTCTAACACGAACATTAGTTCACAAAATACTCTTACACTCTAAAAGCTATATGTTCTTCTCTACTACTTGTGGTGTTCATTAATCTAGCTGGCTGCAAGCCAATGCTAGATATTGCTCAACATTTGCTTTGCATTCTATGTTTTTCTTCCTAACTGGTATGTACCTGATTATTTTTTAATCCAAACCCTATGTGTTTCATTATTGCCTTAAGTTCACCAATTATAAGTCTCATTCTTGTTTCTGATCATTGTCTTGTTGAACACTATCCTATATGTGATTAGCATGTCTAACTGTATTAGCCTATCTACTGCTTTATCTAGCATGCCTAAACTCTGCCTGTTCAAATGTGTAAGTATCATGTCTATACTTCACCTGTTATCTGATGCTTGCCTATTTGCAATTCACATTTAATCCGTCAACTATATAATCATCCTACTGTGTGTCTAATTCAGACTTCTAAATCTTCTCTCCATGTCTTAATTGCCTACTATTCTGGATAATTTGTTAGATCTATGAAGCCCCTAAGTGTTCTATGCACATTGTTGTCTACATGCTTCCCTACACCCTATTCATGCACCTTCAATGAGACTCTTATATGTTCCCCAATCCCTTCCCCTGTGTGCAAGCTTGCCTACTGTAGTACTTGGAAATTTGAATCTTCCATGGCTGAATGGTTGTCTGCTTAATTTGCTCTCTTTAAACTGTTTTCAAAATGTTTTTAGTATTCTTTTAACTGGCTTTCCTTACTAGTATTTTTCTCAAAATTGGTCTATTCTAGAAAATCCTTTTTCACTCCTAAACTGTTTTCACTAAGTCTTTCAAGTTATGTCAATCACTCTCACTTACTCCTAGGTTGCTAAGTTCTGCCCCTCTGGTATGTGTACTTCTTAGAGATCCTTGAGATCTCTCTGGACTCTGGCATATCAGGGTTGGCTCTTCCACACTGCACATAATCAGTCTTTATTTATAAAAAGTCTGGGTGATAGCACTGCCCAGGATCCTTGAGGTCGTTAGGGAACTCTGACACACCTGGACATTGGCTATGAAATCCTTAGCATTTGAGACTACTGAAGGCTTGGTACCCCATGTTTGCTTTGGGCCTGCATCAGGCTCTCTATAGCATAATTTTTATTGCATTCATGTAATTTATTCAATCATTGGTCTGTAATAATTATTTGTAAATAGATATTGGGGTAACTAGTGAAAAGGGAGGGTAACTATATGATCTTATGAGTAATGCTGGGTAGCAATCATGTTTCTAGGTCTTACATCCTGATTTAGGGCATTCACGTTTATTGCTTCAGCATACTGCACGTCATGTATCACTATTCCAACTTTTGCATAAGTACTATTGCATAAAGATCCTGTTATTAGGTCAATAATCCCTCTTAAATAAAAAAAATTCATCCCATGTATGCATTAGATACCCTGCTTTAGGAACTTTGTTTGCATCTATTTGAACCATGTCTATTTCGACTAAATAAATAACTGGCTATGAAAAGGTTTAAAAGCAACTTCTCACATAGACATCATGTCTCTAAACAATTGATAAGTCGCCTGTTATAATCTGTATCACCTAGATCCAGCATGTCTATACGATGAGTAATCTCAAACTGTTAATCATCTCCTATAATTGTGATTGCATACGATCTCACGCCTAGGCAAGCCTTAGGTAATTAACGTCTTTGAAAAATTGAAATTATGTTCTGATTGTTTATAAACTGCTTAAGTCCAACAGATTTTGAAAACCAGTAGGCAAACTGGTTAGGATTCTGCCCTCTTTCCTTAAAATAAACATTGTATATCCTACATCTGTAACATTCATCTAGATATCATGTTCTTAGGATTTCTGAACTTCTTCAAAATTTGTGTTTTAGACGTGCTATTTATTTGCCTATATACATGCAGAGGTAAACCTGAGCCTTTTAACTGCTTTTTCCTATTTGTTTGTCCTACAAGTTATTTGTTTGTCGCCTAGATTTTTACCTTTTAAATACCTTAGGTTTATCTAGAACTACCCAGATTTAGAGGTCCTAATTTCCTCCAGGACCATAAGGAAGGGACCGGTAACAGCATGCTTAAGGGTTATTAATCAAACTCGCTTATATAACCATTAAGGGTGGGGTAATAGGTAGTAAAAGGATATAATGACCTGCGCACTAATGTCACGTGTAGCCCCTCTAGTTGAGGAGGATTACCAAGCATTGCACAGATTGAACTTGTAGGCTAATCTACTTAGGACTTCCCTTTCCCAATTCCTATATGTGTTTAAATTATCTAATCCTTTTCTTTACATATACATGTGTAAGTTGTCCAAACCTCTCTTACTTTCATTATCTGAATTTCCTTGATCATATATGTATTTAGACTGTGAAAACTACCTTTATTTGCAAATATGTGTTAAAACTATTTACTTGTTAAAATGACTAATTCACATGTTTAATCTCGGCCGAGACCCACCGTTGTGGACCGCGAGAGGTGCATAAAAACTTTCCCTCAAGGTTATTTAGAGTCCTTACCCTAATCTCTGTAATGCAAACTAGTTATATGAGTTAATAGCTCTAGGTGCCCCAACGCACCTTAATCCGTTAGGTGACGACTCTTCAAATTCAAATACCCAATTCCCAAGAGGAAACGAGTTGTTCCCCCATGAATGTCGAAACCCGAACCCCGTGAAGGAAAAAAGGGGGCGTGACACAAACTAGCTACATGAGTTAATTGCTCTAGGTGCCCTAACGCACCTTAATCCATTAGGTGTTGACTCTTCAAATTCAAATACCCAATTTCCAAAAGGAAACGAGTTCTTCCCTCATGAATGTCGAAACTCGGACTCCCCGAAGGAAAAAGGGGGCGCGACAATATTATATTTTCCCAATATTGGGAGGGTTCGGTTTGGCTGGCTCACTTGCAAAGTTTAGGAGATACTCGCTCTTTATTAAATTTGGGCTTTCATGTAGCCAGCCCTGAAGCATTAATCTAAATCGCAGACTTCCAAACAATTTACACCAAAAATAGTCTCTCTCTCTCTCTCTNTGTTTTTCAAAAATATACTGGTTTTCATTTCTGGGTATGTTTTCTTTTCCTTTAAAAGTGATCTCAGAAAGATATAAAAGGGATTTTTGGCTTTTAAGGGTAATTTGAAGAAGATATTGGTTTTTATTTCTGGGTTTTTCTCCCCCTATTCTCTTGGTTCTGTGTTTGCATGTTTTGCAAGTATCACTTTTGGGAGGTGCACGCACACAAGCAGTAGAGTAGCAGTTATACGTCGGGTTCCGCAACATTGGGAGTATACCAAGTTGAGAGTTCCAGATTCTATTCGCGAGAATTGGTACCTCCCTCCTCCTGTTTCTCTGTCTCATGTGTTAATTACTTTGTTGTTGTAGTATTTCGTACTAGTCTAGTCAGTCTAGTGGGCTTGTAGTTACTATTTGCTCCCTTTATTGTTATGTGTGGTGTTTGTTTTTCTCCTTTTCATTTTTAGACCTTCATAGATATAGAGACTGTGGTTTGTAATGGCAGAGTAGGGTCATGTCCTCAGGGAGGTCAGGTGGTGAGGAGGGGGTAGGGCAAGGGTCAGGGGTGGGACGGGGCCCAAAGGGGGTAAAGGGAACAAGGTAGCCAGTAGGTTGAGGATTGGATCTTGAAAAATAGGGACGTTAATAGGTAAGTCTATAGAGCTAGCAAATATTCTCCAGAAGATGAGGGTCAATATAACGTGTGTGCCAGAGACTAGATGGGTAGGATCGAAGGCGAGAAATGTAGACGGGTATAAATTATGGTTCTCCGGAGTCATGAAGGGCAAGAATGGAGTGGGAATTTTGGTGGATAGGGAGCTTAGAGAGTCAGTGGTAAAGGTTAGACGGGTGAATGATAGATTGATGACGATTAAGGTAGTAGTTGGAGGGAGCACTCTGAATGCCATTAGCGCTTACGCGCCGCAAACGGGCTTGGATGAGGAGGTTAAAAGGCGCTTATGGGAGGCGTTAGATGAGATGGTGCGGGGTATTCTACCTACGGAGAAGCTATTCATAGAAGGGGATTTCAATGGTCATATTGGGTCGTCTGATGGTGGCTATGGTGAGGTGCACGGTGGCTTCGGCTTTGGTGATAGGAACAGTGGTGTTACCTCACTATTAGATTTTGCTAGAGCTTTTGAGTTGGTGATCGTGAACTCTATGTTTCCGAAGAGAGAGGAACATTTGGTTACTTTCCGGAGTATGGTGGTTAAAAATTAGATTGACTATCTCCTCCTTAGGAGGAATGATAGGGGGTTGTACGAGGATTGCAAGGTGATCCCGAGTGAGAACCTCGCAACTCAACATAGGCTCCGGGTAATGGACGTCAGTATATTGATGAAGAGGAAGAAGAGGTTTGTACGGGATCAGTCGAGGATTAGGTGGGGAGCTGATCGCTGCCTTCTCCACACTACTAAAAAGTAGGAAGAGAGGGTCGCAATAACTTTTACCTGATATGAGGGTCAGGATCGATTTTCACAGGGAGCTAGGAATGGAGTCAAGTATCTCTCTAGACTAGAGTCGTGTAATTGTTCCAAATGTCACTTCCAAACATCTTTTGATTTTTCTTTAACAAACTAATATTATCAACTACTAAACTAAATTATGCTAATGAGAAAATTGCTAGAGTTGTATCTAATGAGTAGAAAGACACTAGGGTAGTGACTTTTACCTAGGTGGCTAATTGACGGGTAAATGCTTCTAAGGTTCGATTGACATGATTGGGGAAATATGCTACAACCGTTGCATAATTTTACCCACTCTCACACCCCTCGGTAGAGAGAGTGATTTTGCCCAATTGACTCTCTCAAGACCAAATGGGTAGGCAACTTAGCTCAAGCAACTAGGGTTCAAGTTGGGTAATTACTCTCTCGAGGTTTAACCCTTTAATTGGGACTATCAATTCTCTTGAGTCCATCCCAATTCCTTGTTGGGTCATTTTAGGAGACTTAGGCTCTCGTTCTCAAGAAGAGCCAAGTTAACTTAGTACAAACTAGTATTTGCAACCACCAATTCATAGATTAAACCATAAAATTGACCCAAATAGCAAACACTCATAGTCAATCTAACCCTAGATGGCAACACCCATCAATTACCCATACTAGGGTTGAGCCACAACCCTAGCTAATGGGTTTAGCTACTCATGCTTGAAGAAGAAAAAAGAGAAATAGATGAAGAACAAGACATATTAATTAAAAGTTAATGTAAATACAGAGAATCTATCGTTAAATCTATTTTAAGATGCCAAAAATGGCTACACAATATCTTCTCACGAGTGCGACTTCGTTCTGGAAATATCTGATGCCCTAAAAATGGAAAAATATTCTATTTATACTAAGCTGGAAAAACTGGACAAAAATGCCCTTGCGGGGTCAGTGTGGACCGCACAAAATGGACCGCGGCCGCACTAGGCTCTTGGACTTGAATTCTTGGCTCTCTGAACTCAGGCTCCACGGACCGTGAAGAATGGACCGCGGTCGCGGAGGCAACTAGCGCAGTCCACAAAAACATGACCGCGAACCGCATGGGTTTGAAGTTGGCACTGGACATCTCTCTGATCTTCTCCTCTGCGGACCGCACAAAATTGTAGTGCAGCCGCGGAGCCTTTAGTGCAGACAGCGCAAGATTGATTGCGGCTGCACTTCCTTGAAGCTTGATTTACCAGTTCTCTGAATCCCCTAGTGCGGACCGCACAAAGTGTAGTGCGGCTGCACGAGGCCTTTTTGTCCTAAGTTTGCCTTGTCTTTGGTACTTGAGCAGGTTTCACTCCTTTTGAGCTGATCTTTGACAGTTCGTCACTTTGTCGATCAAACCTACAATCAAGCACAACTTATGAGCCTTTTGGGACCATTTTGTAAGAATTTATAATCAAAGCGTAAGCAGGAAGGAGTATAAAACACGTCAAAATTCCTAGTTATCAACTCCCCCAAACTTAAGCTTTTGCTTGTCCTCAAGCAAACAAAATAATACACACCCCTTAAGGGAAAATCCAAGTATTTTCAGCTATCTTAAAGTAACCTCAACAAGCATCAATTGGGACTAACAATTGCCCTCAATGTGAATGAATCATTAACATCATTTAACCTTTGATAAACCATGGATCAAGTGTGACACAAGAACATCAAGAGTTGACTCATTACATCAAAAAACTCTCTCAATTATTTCGGTCATTGTGAAACCCAAACTCATATATCCTCAACTCTCCCTAAGAAAACCTCACCTTTTAGAGCATTAGCACACAAACCGAGGTCAGTGGGAATTCACTCATCTCTCTCAAGGAAAGGTCACAAGTCCAGCTCTAAGTACCATATGCTTGCCCCACATGTAAGTATCCACTAATGCAAGCTTCATTCAACTCAAAATCATATAGGGCTTTTGTGGAGTCATTGTGAAGGCTTTTGGTTCAGGGTAGGACATGTTTAGATCTAAGTGGGTTCCATCTTCCCTTAAGCACTTCTTTTGATTCATTTGGCACAATTCTCTTGACTCTTTGAGTCATCTTACTTCTTTCTAAGAGGTTAGAGAGACACACTGTCACTCTTTCTCATACAATTTAAAACGTTTCTCCTTTTTCAACTTTCCACACCTTTTTCTCTTTTGCTTTTCTTGAATCCCTTTTTATTCTTTTCCACATTGAGTTTTCTTTTTGTCTTTTTCTTTTCTTTCTTTTTCATTGCCTTTCCTTTTTTTCACTTTTGTACCTTTTTCCACTTTGTTCCCTTCCTCGTCTCTCCCCCCAAACTTATATTTTTGCCATGTGCTCAAGGAAAGTTCGGGTGCCAAGAGAGGGTATCTTTTAGAACGGGTATAGGCTTGTATCATAGTTTCTGAAAGAAAAAAGGTTTAAGGCTCAAAAGGGTTTACTAGGGATCATATCATTGGTAGGCTATGGAATTGTTCGACTATCATTTGGATCAAGGAGAGCCTATAATCACTTCTCAAGTCAAATTTCGCCTAAGATTTTGCTCAATAAACATTCAGGGCAAGTTCTAGACCAATGGCTCGGGACTTGGACTCGCAATTCGATTTCTCACCACACAAGCTAAATGATTGCTAAAGACATAGAGTCGGGGGCCCACAACAACCTTAGACATGATTTGAGCATATAATGGTCCCGAAAGACCACTTGATGATTGTTGGTCAACACAGGAGTCTCAAGGTCACGACTTTCACCATCCTAAACACAACATTTTGTCTTTGACCATGGGATCAAAGGCAAATGTGCTAGGTCCAAGTGAAGCTTTGCTTGAGGTACCCTTAACTACAACTACCAAAAACAAAAACAAAACGGACTCAAACCCTTAAGAAGGTTGTCACGCCATCCATCATCGGGAAGAGTCACCCGGTTCACATAATACTCCACCTTTGGAAAGAATCATGGCATTAAGAAAACCAAAGATTTATTGAAAGTGCCAAAAAACAAAACAAAAAAAAACTACGAACATAAATAAGAAGCTAAAAACTAAAATATTTGCGAAAATAGAAAGAATATATACAATAGGGGATTTGAATACACAACGGGGAATAAATATATACAATGATGCAACTTTATATACAGACCAAATGAAAGATAAAAAGTGCGATAAAAGTAACTAAATGTAAGATTATATACAGACCAAATGAAAATCAAAAAAGCATAAAGTAAATCAGTATATATACAATCATCCAAAGATAAAGGGCTCACCCCCTCAAATAAAAGCTGGCATTGTCCTCAATGCCAACTAAATCAAATAAGCACCAAAAATAAAATAGAAGAAGGATATGAAGACTCCCTAAGCCGTGTCCGTCTGCATCGGATCATGGGCGGTCCCTGTGTCCTCTGTATGCTCGGGAACCTCAGACTGGTTCCCGGTATCCTGCTGCTCAGCTGTAGGGACTTGGACCTGGACAGGATGTGTATCAGATACATCATGTGGCTGACTGAATGAAGCCTCCGGTGGGTTCGTCAACTGGATGATGGCATCATCTGCGCTCGGGATCATCCTCCTCCTTTTCGGAGGTCGCTGTGACTGCTCCTTCTGTGGCTCTGCTGCTGGCACTGCTGTTGGAGCTGGGTCCTCAAACAATAAGTCTAAAGGCAGATGGTCTGCCTTCAGTCTATCCACATCCACCCTCAGCTTTTTCATGGACTCTTTGGAAGCCCGTGTCTTGCGCAGCTTCTTGTGCTCCTTGGCAAGCTCCTTCAGAGCCTTGCCATGTGAATCCACTGCCTTTTCCAAATCAGCCTGGGTACTGAGGATCTTCTCCTGGTTTTAAATTATCTTTTTCAAGGCATCCTCTATAGACTGTGGACCTGTGCTGGCTGAAGGGCCGACTGAGCTGCAATGGTGGAGGTCAAGGTAGACAACTTGGATGACGTGGTATACATCCAGTTGTTTAAACTCTGAAGCATCTGGCTCAGCCGGTGGGCAGTGATAAGATGGGGTAGAGTAGATGGAATCTCTGAGCCTGCTGATGTGGAGGGGCCTGGAGAAATATCTGAAGTGGAGGGTCCGGGAGGCATCTCAGTAGAAGTGGAGGCAGACTCAATGGAGGCCTCTACCATAACTAGCTCTTCAGACTGGCTAGTTAGGGTAGAAGCGGGTGCCTTGTAGCTCTTGTCCTTGGGGTTGTTTGGTCCCCTCAGACTATACCATGAGAATGGGGTTGTAGCCTTTACCTTGATGTCAAACCGCCTCTTTTCTACCTTCAAATCTCTGAAGTACATGGTCAGGGTGTTGGGGAAAGGGTAATTCCTGTCAGTCTCAGTACCCACAAGAGAGATGATGCGGGATATCACATTCCCCACATTGATGGGGTACCCTGCCATGATGGAAGCAACTAGGACAGTCCGGTGGAGAGGTAGAGTCTGATCATGGGTAGTGGGGTCTAATCGGCTGCATACAAATGTCTCCCAACCCCTCGCCTCAAAGTTAAGAGTCCTCTGTAGTAACTTTACCCCAACAGTCAACCACTCCGGAACGGTACCTAGGATTGCCAGGTACTGAGCTAACCATGGACGGACCTCCTCGCCCATCTCCAGCTTTGCCATATAGAGAGACTCATCTTCCTCAATGAAGCCCAAATATTCATTCAGACACTTCCCGTCGAACAACACCTTTTTGTTTCGAACCTTAGTCACTTTGGAGCCCTTGACGATCTGGGCCACATTACAGTAAAACTCCTTGACCAAGTGTTCATTTGACTCCCTACAGTCATTTATAAAGTGCTCCCACCCCACT